CTCTCTCTCTCTCTCTCTCTCTCTCTCTCTCTCTCTCTCTCTCTCTCTCTCTCTCTCTCTCTCTCTCTCTCTCTCTCTCTCTCTCTCTCTCTCTCTCTCTCTCTCTCTCTCTCTCTCTCTCTCTCTCTCTCTCTCTCTCTCTCTCTCTCTCTCTCTCTCTCTCTCTCTCTCTCTCTCTCTCTCTCTCTCTCTCTCTCTCTCTCTCTCTCTCTCTCTCTCTCTCTCTCTCTCTCTCTCTCTCTCTCTCTCTCTCTCTCTCTCTCTCTCTCTCTCTCTCTCTCTCTCTCTCTCTCTCTCTCTCTCTCTCTCTCTCTCTCTCTCTCTCTCTCTCTCTCTCTCTCTCTCTCTCTCTCTCTCTCTCTCTCTCTCTCTCTCCTCCGCATCTGTGCATTCTGCTTGTCTATACAGAGTACAACATTTAACCCTTCAATATATATGAGCAGTAAATAAGTGTTGCTTTCATATTCTTATGTAGAGTAATGACCATATGTTTTCCATGTCTCCTTTTTTTACCATTAATGGTTAGCTACTTATATTGTTCCATTAAATAACATTACAGGTACTTCAAACAACCATATTAAGTTTTTTACATTAATTTTACTACAGCTAAAATCAGGGTCTTATTTTCTTCAGTTTTATATGTAGAACCAATCAGTCACTGGTTTCGTAAGCTTCTAATAAACAATGCCGCAGCCGTCGTCTCCTCTAATATTACGTATTATTAATAAATTGTATTGTTAATTTTGTACACACATACATTAATTCAATAAAACAAATTCAGAAACATTAATTAAAATATATATGAACAGTAAATAAGTGTTGCTTTCATATTCTTATGTAAAGTAATGATGATATATTTTCCGTGTCTGCCCATCTGCGATCTCTCTTTTTTCTTTACCATTATCGTTAGCTACTTCTATTGTTCCATTTATTAACATTACTTAAAACAACCATATTAATTTTACTACAGCTACAACCAAGGTCTTATTTTCTTCAGTTTTATATGTAAAACCAATCAGTCACTGGTTTTGTAATCAAGCGAAAACAATGCTGTGTCATTTCCTCGTGTGTTTTAATAGTCTACGTATTATTAATGGATTGTATTGCTCATTTTGCACACAAGCATTAATCCCATAAAATGACATTCAGTAATACACAATCATGAATCTTTTGTACAGAGAAATGGCGCTGTTTACACGATTATGCCGTCGTCTGCGACGTTGGCGGGCTGTTCAAACCCGTCGAAATTCAAGTTTCCGCCGTCAAAATTTTTATTTATTTATTTTTTGTGTTGCCAATAAAATACGTTAAAATTAAAACTCTCGAAATTTGAAGCTACTATACATTAACCCTTCAATATGTTCGAGACCATGATGCAGAAGGTGGTGCTAGTGCTTCAAGCATAGCTCAAGTCACTATCTATCCAGGGAAAAGGTGAATTTCCATGGTCCGGCACTGGTCAGGTCCTAGGTTGCCGGACTAGAGAAGTTACAACCTGTACTTTGGACAAGGCCGGCGACTTGACGTCCGGGGCAGCGTTGACTGTTTCTCCGACACCCTACTCTAAACAATCCCAACATGAACGTGTAGGTGGATTCAAGGGCAACTAGAGTATCATGACTCTGCATTCGGCAATATGGACAGTAAGGTCCCAGTCGCCTTCAACTAACTTTTACGAGGACTTTCGTATAGGGCTATCCGTATCGTCGCTGACTAGTGGTACATAAGCTCCTCCTGTTACGTTCGTTCCACTACTGGCTCTTTCAGTCTTTACTGGAGAGTTCTTGGTTCGTTTTGAACTTGCCTAATACTAGGATACCCACTTTTGTTACCCAGATAACTGTTCCAATCTCTCTCTAATCGTGCGGCCATCGTGTCTACTGGACAACAAGAGATAATAATACTTCAATTACTCCTTCAACTGTTTTGCAAAGTTGGTACAATTTATCTTTCAACGTCTGTTCTTTACCTTTCATTGGCCCATACTGGCAGAAAATGGTTGAGGTTATTTTAAGTTGGCTCAGAAACAACGGGGATCATCTTCCAGATTGTACTCTAATCGCGTGAATTCCTCCCAGGCATCTTCAGGGTTGTTTCACAAACAATTTCCGCAAAGGCTACTTTAAGTTTATCCCAATCTTCCTCATTGGTATCAAGTTCTACTTGGACCATGGCCTCAACGATCGTCCATGGGTCGGTAGCTACCTGCCATCTATCCCTTGAGCTAACTGCGTTATACTCTACTTTCTTACAAAATTTAGTTATGATTCATCTGCTTTAAGACTGAAGATATATGTTTAGCTCATTAAATTCATACAAATTACCCGGCGAATATAATTTACATTGCTGGAATTCTTACAATATGATGATCATTATGAATAAAAACATCATGGATTTGCATTAGACATACAAATTTTAGATCTAAAAGTAATAATTTGGTTTACACAAAGCAAATATTTTATCTTTTGTGTAAAATATGAAGTTTACATTCAAACTATTCCCTACCTTGAAAGGAATCCAGAAATGTCAATTATATTATCCTAACTTTAGTCTGAGGTATTATTTATTACTAAACATTAAATCTAGAGTTTTCACCCACACATTTATCTGGTAGGGAGGGAAGGTGGGGGAGGGTTGGTACCGACACCCAGCTGGTGTGAGGAGGAGGCAAGGTGGTGCTTTGATTGACAGATAGTGTCGTGAAGAATATATATTTTTTTATTAACTGAAGATATTTGTTTTAGCTCATAAAATTCATACAAATTACTCACCAGAATATAATTTACGTTGCTGGAATTCTTACAATACGATGATCATTTTGAATATAAACATCATGGTTTGCATAGACACAAATTTTAGATCTAGAGTAATAATTTGGTTTACACAAAGCAAGTATTTTATCTTTTGTGCAAAATAGATGAAATTTACATTCAAAATATTCCCTGACCTGCAAAGAATCCAGAAATGTCAATTATATTATCCTAACTTTAGTCTGAGAGTATTTATTACTAAACGTTAAAATCTAGTGTTTCACAATCATTTTCTCAAGTGAGCTGGGAAGAGGGAGATTTGAGTCCATTATTTGAATGGACATTAACCTGGCAAACTGTATTTCTCTTAAATATTAATTGTGTGAGCATACCATCATAAAATTTAGATGTTATTTTCTACAACATAGGTATTGGGAAAAAGTGGATTTGAGGTTGAGCCAGTCTCTATTGGAATTAATCCCATATGTTCTGTTGTTCACTTTCTGGTTTTAACTTTCCGCGGTACCCTGTGGGTTCAATTGACCCGTAAATCCGTGAATCGAGGTACTACTGTACTGAAACTTGCTGGTTGAAGGTATTGGATCATCTTGAGGGTGAAGAGGCAGCATGGTGGGGCGTGAGAGACAGCACTGGGGACTTTTAAATAGATGTAATTTAGACTGGTTGTTTTCTTTTCATTATAAATTTCTCTGTAGCAAGCAAGTGCATCTTGGATCATTCTGTCAACTTTGGCATAGCTCATAATTTTGATCCATGCCATCAAACATTTGCATTCCTTTATTTAATTGTAGCAATTGCCTCTGCCATTGTTTCAATGAAAACTTTTGGGGGTGCAGGTTCTTCTTCTACATTTTGTCTCTTCTTCCTCTGCAATTTTCTGTGCATCTAGTTCAATAAGATCCTCGTTACTGAGCTCTTCTGCACTCTCAACCATTTTCATTAACTCCTTTGAAACTGTAGTCGCTGAGGCATGCGCTACAATAATCCAGTCTCATCCGCATTGAATATTTGCTCAGGCAAATAATTCCCTTCCCCACTTCATCTAACTCCTCCTTAAAGTTTCAGCAGCACCAACATTGGCACTAGCTGCTCCTCTCCACTCCACCTTAACATTGTGTGTAGACTGTAGCGTTTTTAAATCTATCAAACCACCATGACTTCCTGAGGTTTGATCACATTCATCTCCTGCCTGCTCCTTCAGGCTTTGGAACAAGCTTCTTGCTTTAGCCTGTATGGTTAGAAGGCTTGAGGGTACACGCCTGTATCTGGTTTTCTATCCATATCGCCAATAATTTTTCCATATCATGAATAGGACCTTGTCTTTTCTTTGAAATTATAGTTCCTTTATGGTGTTGTTCCTTTCACTACATCACGAATACGTTCCTTGTCCTTCAGAATAGTGGATATGGTGGTGTTGAAACCCAGGTCGTGAGGTTGTTGCTACAGTCTTTCCATTCTCATGCTGTCTTATTATCTTCATTTTCATCTCAAAGTAATTGCCTGTCTCCTTTTCTTTGGGCACCACCAGCACTCTCCTTTTACGCTTTCAGTCATTATAAAGTCAATTAAATACGATAACGAAGTTCACAGCGCGATCAGTATATAGGATACGATAGCCAAACACCAACTAAGCTCTACTGACTGAGTGCACCGGCCTCTCGCCCTGGACAGAAACGTTTGTGATAGAAAATCGCGTCATTTGAAAATATTTTTGGTCACGACTGCAGCGGTCGTATGTCCCGACGGTCGTGAGGTCAAACAGGTCGTAAGTACCGATGGACGTAAGTCCAAGCAGTTGTAAGTCGGGGACTACCTGTATTGGTTTCTTTGAAGAATATCTTTGGTCTGTGATATTAGAATTCTAGATGAGGTTCATTAATTCATGAAGTGTTGCAGAAGAGACAGTAACGAGATCTTATTGAACTAGATGCACAGAAATTGCAGAGGAAGAAGGAGCAAAATGTAGTAGTAGTTCAAGGTTAAATGGATGTGTACTTTGTAGCTGTAACATTCATTAAAAATTATGTGTTAGGTTGGACATGTCCTAACGCTAAATATTTTGTAGTGTGTGTATTGATACTACTGTATAATTTTGTGTATGCTGTATGCTTTTAATTTTAACGATATATTTTAGAAGGTGCTAACCTAAGATTTTAAATGCAGAGTGGTTCATTTTTGGCCTTGTGTGGGTAGCTAACTTCATTGTTGGTATTTGTGGTGCACTGTGAGATCTAATGCCCAGTATAATTTCAGAGTATTGCCTTTGATTGTGTTTGAAGACCTTACGGTGATACTGTATGTGGACACCAAGTGAATGCTATCTTTCAAAATAGATTGTTATACAGTGTATGAACCCGCAATTGTGAGTACAGTGTATTTCGAAGTGTTCACACAGTGTTGAGCCATACAGAGATTGTTACTGACAGACACCATTGTTTTTGAGTTATGTAATTGTGCCTTGAAGAGGCTTAGGGACTTGTCAAGTAGTACAGTGATATTCCCTTTTATGTATTCATCTGTGTAGCTCAAAGTACAATTTTCTCAAAAGTTTCATCAAGTATTATCACTGTGTTGTGATTTTTCATTTGAGTATTATTTTTAAGGGGTTGGTGTATTAGAATTGTTTAAGCAGCCTTGCTGAAGATTAGTTGAGTTGTTGTGACCTCCTTGGCAAGATGGCCGTCACAAGGACAGTTCAGGGCGGAATACCCAGAACCTGTGTCCAATGAGTTGAGAAGTACAGTCGGCCCTTAACATTCGCGGGGTTAGGTAACAGAGATACCCGTGAATGTTAAAAATCCGTGTACTATTGCTGCTCCCCTAAAATCCTGGCCCCCATGTCTTTTTACATATACCTGTGTGTAGTTCGAGTTTTAAGACCAAATTATTTGGCAAAAATTGGGGTCGACCTCTAAACGGGTAATAGTTTCGTTAGGTTGAAATATTTACCAGTAACACCAGTAAACAATGGAAACGATGCACCAACACACCACCAGCTGTGAGTGTCGGTACAGTTGCCAAGGCAGACTCTTGCCAGCCCAAAGTAGCCAAATCCATGGTATGGTAGCACAGGACGATGTAAAACAAAGTATTCATTTATTAAAATTAATTTATAGATACTGGACATAAATTTTTGTTCATTACATTTGAAACATCAATCTTTGTTAATTAAATTTGAAACAAGAAAACTACGATACTGGATTTTCATAAAATATTACATCACAAGTATATTTTACCTTAACTGTGACTGAATGAATATATTCTCGGAAATAAATATGGAAATGTAATATTTTTGCTGGAATGACGTACTTATTATAGTGGGAAGTGGATAAAATCATGACGAAAGACTTTTCGCTTTCTTTCGTTCAAAATATTTTACCGTAATCCTTTTCGAATGGTTTCAGTTAAAAACTGTTTATACTCGTACTGTATTACAATAATATTCTATCCTATCATTAGCCTTATAATCCCACAACTGAAAACCATTCAGCGATTACAGTAACATCTTTTGAACGAAAAGAAAGCGAAATCATGCTGTCACTTTCCACTGTATGTCATTACATCATTCAGAAAATATTACATTTTCATGTTCTCAGAAATAAATGGTAGTTTTGTTGAAACGTAATGGACAGTATTTAACATTAAAATGCAAAAATAGCTATAAAACAATTTATACACCGTAATGTACTGGCTGGCATCTCCTCGTCCCTGCTCCCGCCAGTCACCTCCTCCCGCTCTGCCTCCCTCCGCCTCCTCCACATCGTCACTACTGTTGTATTAACAATAATATTCTATCCTAATTGACTTGAATAAATACTACGATATATTTCTGAATATTTTCATTAAAATCCATCCAAATCATTTTCCCTTGCCATCGTCTGCAGCACAAACAGCTTCTCCCAGTCCTCTCCTTGAACAGGACTAGAGGGTACGTGTTTTCGAATCGTTTTCAATTAAAAAAATGTTACATCACCGTATATTTTCCTAAACTGCGCCTGAATGAATATATTCTTGAAATAAATAGTAATTTTGCTGAAACGTGATGTATTTCAATGTAAAATAGGATAAAATACATAGACGAAAACAAAAGACTTCACCTAACCTTCCAATGTTCAAGATGTTACTCGTTTTTAATAGTTTTCGGTTAAAATACTGTTATATTACAATGATATATTCATACTGTGCTTGATATGCTACATTCACAGAAATGAAATATTTTTTGCTGAAATGACGTAAATATTACAGTGGAATGTGGGACAAAATCGTGACGAAAACAATGACTTTCGCTTTCTTTCGTTCAAAAGATGTTACCATATCCTTTTTCGAATGGTTTTCAGTTAAAAACTGTTGTATCACAAGTGAATTAGGATAGAATATTATTGTAATACAACAGTTTTTTAACTGAAAACCCATTCAACGTGCATTAACATCTTTTGGCCGAAAAAGCAGTCATTGCTTTCTCGCCACTATATTACGTCATTTCTGCAAATATTACATTTCCATATTCTCAGAAATAAATAGTACTTTTCTGAAACTTGATGTATTTCAATGTAAATTAGGATAAAATACATGACGAAAAGACTTTACCTAACCTTCCGATGTTCAAGAGATGTTCTCGTTTTTTTAGTAGTTTTTGGTTAAATATACTCTAGACCCCTGACTTACGACGGGGTTAGGGACCAAATCCAGGTCGTAAGTACCAATGGACGTAAGTCCATATAGTCGTAAGTCGGGGTCTAGGTGTACTCTTATATTAGTGATATTCTATTCATACTGTGCTTGATATAATACATTCACGGAAATTTAATATTTTTGCAACTACAATGCTGATGTCAACACAAGTGTGGTTACAGCGAGACTGACTGAGTGAGGGAGAGCTATGCGTGTGTGTGTGAGGTTGCGGGAGCGGGCGGTGTCCCGTGTTCGGTGCCGCGCGTGAGTTGAATGGCGCGCGATTTGAATGTACTTCAATTACTTCAATGCACAGAATATTCCTCTGGCGGGGCAATCCGCGTATTTGCGAATCCGTGAATGCTAAACCCGCGTATGTGAAGGGCCGACTGTATGTGGGTGGAGATGTGTTCATTCCCAGGACTGGAAGATGTAGTAGGGTGGGAGAGGAGTAAGGAATGCCTTTTACTAGTTAGTGAGAGACACAGACATCAGTGTTGCAGAGAGATCTTTAAAAGGTTGTAGACCCTTTAGCTGTACTGTCTTGGTTGGTGGACCGGGGTGTAGTGTATGTTTTTGCATGTTAGTGTTTTGCAATTTAGAAATATGGGTTGGTTGCAAGTGAGTACAGTATACTGTTTGCCAATGTGAGTTGTTGAATGTGGGGCAACGAGAGTGCTTGGCATAGTAACAGACAGTCCTTGGCTTGGTTCCCATAAGGACCGTTTCGTCTTGCATAGGATTCCTGGGAATATTCACGTTCCCTCGGGCCTCCCTCGATGGTACCGAGTCGCGCGAGTGTGGCATGAATCTTTGTAAAAAGGTCAAACAAACCTTTCCTCCGGCTTGATGGGGTCCGTTCATCTGTTCCTAGCTTGAGAAGTCCAAGATGAATCTCGGGTGTGTCCTGTAAGCACTTGATCAACCGCCTCAATGAAAACTTTGTGGATGTGAGAAACACTATTTCAAGTCTGTTTATTGAGTTACAAAATTTTTATGCTATTAACTTTTATCCTCTTCACCACTGATCGGCTAGTTAGCCGCTTGAGCGATCGGTCACGTCTGTTACTCACTGTTGGCAAGCCCAGGGCATGCACTGGCTCCTGAATGTACCTGAACCTGCTCCAGTGATGGTCAAGTCTTGTCTTGAAAGAGCACACTCGGTGCCATCACTACACTTTCTGGTATATTGTTCCAAGAGTTCACAACGACCGTCTTGACGGATATTGCAAGTCAATATCAGTCCCATTCATTGACAACTGGGCCGACTTCTACAGCAGAAGGGACCTTTATGCTAGGGATGGGGTACACCTGTCTCGGGATGGGGTGGCAACCCTGGCTGGGTCTCTAGAGGGGGCAGTTCAAAAGATATCGAAGTCTTTAAACTGTTAGGGGAACATATGGGCACGGGGTGGAGGAGACTGCAGTGGGAGCGGGTAAACAAAGTGAAAGATTACAGGGAAATAGTGTTAGGAATGATGACAAAACTAAATTAGACGGAGTTTAAACCTAAACGCGGTAAAGGGAGGACTCAGAGAACTCGTCTAACTTAAATGTCTACTATGTGAACAGTAGAAGTATGAGAAACAAAATGGATGGTATTAGGGCCTTGGTATGTACCGAAAAAATCGATATAATGGCATTCACTGAAACATGGATCAACCTAGACTCACATGAGTTACCTGTCGAATACCAAATTGCGGATTACAAATTGTTCCATACCGATAGGCCGTCCAGGAAAGGAGGCATCTATGTCAGGGATAATCTGAAGTGCGAAATAAATAAGGAAATAAAAACTGAGCGGAATACAGAAACAATTTGGATAGAATTAATCATATGAGTAATATATAGACCTCCCAATCTTGGTAAGAGTTAATGAGCGACTTATCTGGGATGAAATGCGCAGGGCTTCCATACACAACAAAGTCTGTATAGTAGGCGATTTTAACCTTGGCCAAATAGATTGGACTGACCTTACGGGTAACTCAGTATCAGAGGATTTCCTTGAAACGATCCAAGACTGTTTCCTAAGTCAACATATAACCGAACCCTCCTGGGGTAATAATATACTCGATTTAGTTCTGTCGAACAGAGAAAACCTCATTAGCAATGTCGAGGTAGGGAATGAACTTGCAAACAGCGATCACAAAGAAATTAGATTCCAGTTAAATTTTCAGGTCAGACGTAAAGGGAATTCCATTAAAGTCCCAGATTTCAGAAGGGCAGACTTTGATAGTTTAAAGAGGCAGCTGAGAGAGGGAGTGTCGCGCTTGGGTGTGAACCTGACATATGACACCGACCTAATAACGAGATCTGAGATTGCCGAGTTCCACGACAATTTAAATAATGAGTTACTTAATGCACAAAGGCAGAACATACCATACAAAAAACTCAGATCAGACAACAATGACCCTAAATGGATAAATAATTATTTAAAGAACATTATTGGCCAAAGGAAGGTTATAGGTAGAAGGATAAGTCGTGGCGAAATTTACCTCGGAGTATTATAAGGTATTGCTGGTAGGGTTAAGACCGAGATAAGAAAAGCGAAAAGGAATTATGAACTAAAGATAGCAGGGGAGGCGAAAACAAACCCCAAAGGATTCTACCAAATGTATCAAACTAAAACACGAGATAAGATTGGACCATTACGTTCAGATACCAGCGAGCTAACTGATAAAGACGGAGAAA